GGTAGGACTCTTGACGAGAAGCTGGGACAGGAGCCGATCCCGGGGGCCTCATAGCGCTGTTCCTCATAAGCAGCTGGTTATTCTTCTCAGCGAGGAGAAGACAGGACAACAAGTCTTCGTACAATGTGTGTTTCATTGCACGGTATTGTTGTTGGAGCACAACATTCTCTGTGCTGAATGTGGATAATGTTTTCTCGAGGAGATCATTATCTGTCACATCCTCGCCACAGAGTTTCCGGATGGCAACAATACGAAAGAGTTCGTTGTTGTAATCATCTACGGATTTGTAGTCCTGGAACCGAAGGTTCTTCCAGTCGAAATCTGCCTGAGGCAACTGGACCATTTTCTGATGGTCATATCGCTTTTTCAGCGCTTGCCACAATTCAAGTGGATTCTCAAGAGTGAGATATTGCTGCTTAAGGCTCGGGGCCAGATGATGGCGTATGTGACATATCGCCTGAGACTGTCCCTTACGGGATGCGGTGTTACCGTCGGTAATACATGCATCGAGTTCTTTCGATGCAAGGAACAAGCGCATGTCTAGGGCCCACTCGAGGTAGTTATCCCCGGAGACATGAAGGGCCTCGAATTCACATTTCTGAATGTTTGACATCTGAAACATGAGATTGATTTTGTTAGGGATTGTTTTGAGAAAATTTTGAATGCTGATGATGAAACTTTCTATTTTGAGAATATTTCTATTTTAGGAAAGTTTCTAAATTTGGAAAGTTTCTAATTTGGGTAATTTTCTAAATGAGGAAAGTTTCTATGTCGGGAAAATTTCTATATGAGGAAAGTTTTTATATGAGGAAACTTTCTATTAGAGGGAACTTTCTCGGAAATAGTAAATTTTAAAGGGTATGGTTTTAGTTACCCCGAACATGATGTCGGTTTAATAGCTGTGATTTAATCGGTTAAAGCCGAATATAATTTTGGTTAATGAGAACCAGGTTTAGCCGGTTTTAGGCGGTTTAGGAGGAACCCTAGGGGAGCCGAATATGATTAGGGTTTTATCTAGGGTTTTAACGGTTTGGAAAACATATTTTGGATGTGATTTCGAGATCTATAGGATCTGTGGTCAATGGTTTTAATAATTTCACAAGGACAACAAAGAAATCACGTGAAAAGGACTAGGGTTTAAGCATTATGACTTACGATTTTGAAGATTACAAAATCGTGAATCAAGCTTAGGATTTAGGGTTGATTTTCTTAGTTTATTCAATCAAGTGTTTCAAGCAAGAGAATCAACAATCAAATAAGCTGCAACAAGCTTATTAAACATGAAGAAAATCGAATAGGTTTATGCCATAAACATGGCCAAAAACGGTTGTTAGGTTTTTGTAGATTGGGGTTTTATAAAACGAGTTTAAAACCTTTGAACATGCATAAACTTGTAATTTAAACAATCAATCAACAAGTTATCAATCAATCATCAGAGTATCAAACACTTTCAATCAATTAGAGATCGATTTTTTTTTTTGTTTTGTTTTTTTTATAGGGTTTTGAAGTGTTTAAACAACAGGTTCTATGGCTTTCAGTTTTAGAAGATACCTTTTCCACCTTTGGATTTCTGACAGGCTAATGAAACTAGGAGCTAATAGACCTCAGTTAGCCGCTACAAATTCCAAAGATTGATCACCAAAACTGGAGAAGCTGCTGGTTGAAGAAGGAAAAACTCGGATCTGGTTTTTTTTTTTTTTTTTTTTTTGGTTGATCGTCGTGTACTGTAAGTGTGCATGAGGGCGCGTCCGACGTTGGATCGACAAACGGTTTTCACCAGTAGATTCGTCTCGTCGAGGGCTTCGATTTGATATGTAGATCGTCTTCTGGTTCCTCACGGTTTGGAAGATATGCGTCTTTTAAGTTTCGACTTGCTTTTAGGGTTTTGGTGGTGGCCGGATTTATTAGGGTTTTTCGCTCAGAAAGTCTTATCGTGCTGATAACGTGTTGTGAAAACTTAGAAACTTTATTAATCACTGGAATGTATATATAGAGTACATAGGGAATCTAAGTTAAGTACAATGCCCTGATGGGCCTAATGGGCCGGTATAAGAATCCATATATGATATGTGTTATAACATATTGATCATTTTCGTCTTTTTTTTGTATTGTCTGTTTCGTCTTTTGTGTTTGCTCTAAGAGTTTTTTTTTTTGGGTCAAAAACATTCTTATTATTATCTTGTTTTGTTTACTCGATTTTGTATAAGACTAATTCGTTGTGTCATTGATTTACTGGTTAGAAGAAGAGAGTGATTGTTTTAGTAGTAGTGGGTGGCCAAAATAGCATATTCTCTTATATAGTATCATTTTCCCTTTTTCTTTCGTTTTTATATACTCATAATATATTGTATTGCGTCAAAATTTGACATATTTCATTTTGATTATCAAATTTAACATAAGCATATTACGCGTCATATTCCAATTTGATTATCATTGATGTAGCTTGTTTGTGAAAGTATAACTAAAAGTATATTATAACTTGAAAGCACTTAACAAAAATTACTAAATGCGTCAGTGACTTAACAAATGATGATCACGGAAAAATGATAATTATCAAAATCCTTTCGTTTGTCTTCATGAATTTTAATTCATTTGTCGTACCTATTATCTTCATGCATATTTTAGACTACAAACATTTTTTTTAAAAAAAACTGAATCATCCCTAACTATTAAAACTCATCATATACTTGTTGGGATATCAATCTATTTCCCACATTGAAAATTTAGACAAAAAAATGTCTAATATATAAGTTATGTTTAAAAGTAATTAGTATGAAGCTTTTTGGGAAAGAATTAAAAAAAATCTATGCGGGTTTTACCACTTAAGTCTAAAATAGACAATATTATACTAATAGAAAGTTAAACATGAGTTTTAAAAACCTAACAATTGATATCAGAACGAAGTTTTAGAAAAAGTGGACATGGACAAGTGATGGGTTATGTGTTTGGTGTGGAAGAGAGAGTCCTCAATGTGACCTGGCGATTGGGATGCCGGTCCCTTGTATCGAAAATTTTTCTGACGGTGAGAAAAAACCTAAAAACAAATCTGAACAAGCTTTACCACTTGAACTCAACATGAATAATATTATACTAATAAAAAGTTGGACATGGATTTTAAAAACCTAACAATATTTTATAGTCTCAGACTGAATAATTATTTAAAATGACCGAAATAAATGTTTTGGTTTGTCATCTTATTGTCCTTCCCATGTTTTATGGATCAATTTATACAATATAGTCTTTCGCAAGAATATCAAAATACAACCATCAATAAAATGTTCATACTTCTAGTTAGTTCACTATGTTGTAGATATATTACTATAGAAACATCTTCAAAAACTCGATGTTCTTCTAAGAAAGCGGGACTTGATCGAATGATTGAGGCGTTAATCAGAAATTTGACAGCACTATCGTGAAATAGGGAGGACAAATCTTAGTGGGTCCTTCAACGTATCTTTGTAGTACACCTTCATAAATGCTCTTCCAAGTCATCATTCCGACAAAATATTCTAGGGACATTGCAAATGTTGGGTTTAGTCGTTAGACAATAGACTACCTTAAAATCGGTTGACATAAGTCACATACGTTCTATACTGTATATATAAAAAAACGTAAATATGGTAGACAAAAAGTCACAAAAAATGTTTCTTTATTCAATCATAATCCGTGTACAACTTTTTGCAATACGAACAAATATTGTTTTATAATATCAAAATTTTTAATACATTTTGTATCAACCATTTGAGCAAACATCATGCATACCTTTTGAAACACTTAAGAAAATTTTGTAAAGTCTAGTGTCCTATCCTAAACCAGTTGAGCGGATTTCTTGTGAAATCTGCTGTTGTGATCCAAAACAATTGAATAAACTTACTATAGAGTTCTCTAAGCAATTGACTAAAATCTGATGGCTTGAGGTTATTCTGGCCACAACTCCACCTTTTTGTATTTGTGGGCCAGGCTTTTGCTTAAGCCCAAAAGAAAACAAAATCCATGCCAAAGGAGTGATTTACAATACAGAGACATTTGCAACAAAAACCTCAAACTAACCTTATTCTACAAGATATTCCTTAGACTTAAAAATGGATTTTGGTGGTTGATTCAAACTTTCATTTAATAGTTTAATATGTATCTAATATCATCATCAAAATAATTTCAGATATGCACCTAGTTGGCTAGTTTATATCATAAGGTAATATTAGCTTTCAATTATGTACTTTCATCTTGTTTAGACTATAAGGGTTGAAAAAGAATCAGTGTATTAGTTTCCATTTCCCCTTCTTTTTGTTTCTAAGTTTTCCACTTTCCTATTTCATTTTTATTTTCATTATTTTATTTATTTATTAAATAGTCACGTGTTACAACCACCTTTTAGTAATTATAGTTTTTATGCCACAATCAAAATTTAAAGAGACACAAAATCCTTGTGAGCCAACACATAAACCAATGAAACTAATTTCTACCTATATAGCCAACCATATTTATGTAAAGTTTTGTTTTTCTTACTTTTTTGGGGAGGGTTATAAAATGTAGCGACTATATTTGGGCCTATTAAAGGAACAAACACAATTAAAGAAAATAAACAGAGTGATCTATCCAAAATTACTGAGGTCTGATAAGAAATTTATCTTAAGAAAAAGATCATGAAGAAACATATTATCAAGCTGGTCGAACTTTGATTGAAATTTCTGTTTATGATATTGCTTAGGCTTGGTAGATCGGTAAACATTTATGAATCTGATCGTAAATCTAAACTTGTTCAGGTATGATTCTAAGTCTAACTATATGCTAATATAAATCTATTTTGAGCTTTCGAATTTTTCTCTCCACCCGTCCATTAATTTTCTCTTGATTTACAAACTCACAAATATTTCACTAGCTGATTATTTTCGCTACGAACATTTTTATTTAATTTTGGCTTTTCCCTCATAAAAATGACAAAATTTATTCATGATATTACTACTCTCTCTCTCTCTGGGCACGTAGCCCAAGAACTATGAAATGCGCTCCGATAAAGGAGGGAGAGAGATGAGGAAGATGGAGAATCAAAGACAAATACAAAAACAAAACCTTCCTTATCCTCCTAAATTCTCCCTCTTTTCTCCTATTGGATTTTCCATCTTCTCTCCCTCCGGAAAATCCCGCCGTTTCTAGCATTTTCCTCTCTGTTTTCTTCCCGGGAAACAGAAGGAAAATTTCATCTTTTTTTTTTCCGGAAGGAGAGATCTTTGTGAATAGGTAGCTGCACCAATCATAGCTTTCGTGTCGAGGTAAATAAGATTATGTGTATTCTTTTCTATTCTTGAGTTTCTTTCTTGAAAATATACCTTGTTTGGGTTTTTGAGAATTCACAACTTATCTTCTCTGTTTGGCTATGTGGAAACTTTCTTGCAATTTCTTAACGGCAATGTTGTTTTGTTTTTCCTGGGTCTTTCTTTATTCAGTTACGGTGGCTCATTGTTGTGTATGTTTCTGCAGTTCAATTAGAGAATGAAACAAAGGTTCTTGCTTTTTATTAGATTCAGAAGCTAGGGTTTTTGGAAACGTACTAGAATCTTAGCATTTTGAGATTGGAGTTTGGGTAACTCATGGATTCTGAATTGAGATTTCCTACAAGAGATGTGGTGAAATGCTGCGATTTTGGTTGTGATTATTCTCTTGGGGCATGTTCTTCAGATCCTTGGACTAGAACGGTGAAAAGAAAGTTCAACGAATTCAAAGAAGGGAACATGTTGTTGTTACGAGGCTCTTCTGATTCATCTTCAAACGCAAAGTTACTAGTTGAGAATGAATGTGCTGCTTTACTCGAGGCTCTGTCTAGCCAAAGAGAAACAGTGAACGGTCTTCACTTGGAGCTTGAAGAAGAGAGAAACGCTGCTGCATCAGCAGCGAATGAGACAATGTCGATGATACTTAGGTTGCAGAGAGAAAAGGCTGAGATACAGATGGAAGCTCGGCAATTCAAATCGTTTGCTGTGGAGAAAATGACGCATGACCAAGAAAAGCTCACGGCTTTGGAGGAGTTGTTGTATGAGAAAGAGCAAGCTATCGAGGCCTTGTCTTATGAGGTCGAAGCTTACAAACATAGATTGTTGAGCTATGGGGTAACCGAAGCAGAGATGCATGATCAGATACTTGGTTTTGGCAGAGACTCTAGCACGGTCGGTATTGATGTTTACCCGTGTGAAGTCACTTCTTTGAAATGTAGTGTAGATGAGAACCGGAGCGTACCAGATGGTAATATTGATGTGATCGCTGCACAGTCTCCAAGATGGCCATATTATGATCCAAATTCGCCTCTAGGAACTGCAAAAGAAATAAAGGGGACAGTTTTCACAGACTCTCCTATGTCCACTAGTAGCGACAGAGTTTACACTATAGACTCAATTCATGTGGGAGTTTCTGAAGTTAAGATTGACGACGAGCCTAGCAAGATGAGTAAAGGAAAGTTGAACGGTGATCAATGGAATTCTCCGAGGTACCAAGAACCGTTCCCGACTCAGCAAGGAGTTAATGAGCCAGATATTGAGAAGCTTTACACAAGGCTTCAAGCACTTGAGGCTGACAGAGAATCATTGAGACAGATCATTGTATCTATGAGGACAGACAAAGCTCAGTTGGTGTTACTGAAAGAAATCGCACAGCATTTATCAAAAGAAACTGTCTCAACAAACAGGCGAGACCCAGTTAGCAAAATGCCATCTTTTAAAGCATTCTCTGTAGTAACTGTCTTCAAGGTAAATAATCAGAATCTCTCTAGTATTGAACCCTCACATGTTGCATATTGCTTGCTTAAACTGTGCGTAAGCCTGAATTTTGCTCTCCCTCCATTCTTGTGTTTTCAGTGGATTGTGTCTTTTGTTTCTTGGAAAAGGAAAGCCAATCCAAACAAGTAAGTAGATTTACGAGTTAAAAGACTTGCTTTATGGTTCTAATTGTGGTATGACTGCTCTCTGATAAATTCACTTATAAATTGCAATGCAGGTATGTCTACGACTTGTCAGCAAATAATATGGGGATGCTTATGATTCTAGGCGAGGGATCTCGAACTAGGAGATGGAGTTGTTTAACAAGTTCACATGTCTAGATATCCATTTATTTCTTCTTGGCATAGTTAGTGCAAAATGAATGTACATTTACCTTTATTGCAAGACATCCAATCAAACATGAACGGATGATTCATCTTCTGGTTGAATTTATATCAATCCAAAGTTAATTCTTTACCTTTTGTTTTTCGATCTTACGTCTCCTGGAAGCCAAAGATCCTAACACAGCTTTAAGTGCTTTGACAAAAAAAGGCCAATCTATTATGCATAATTAAAATCAGCAATCAAAGCAACGTTATATAATACATTGCCATCAAATATGTTTCCTGATATGTCCAGCCAAATTGCGAATTTTAAAATTAACATTGGGTTGATTATTTGATTCTAGGGTCATACATTTAACGATGAAAACCTGGAAAAAGAGAGGAAACCAAAGCAAATACAGATCACGAGGGAGACAGCAAAACAGTGTAAGACTTGTTGCGATACTTCAAGCTCTTTAGATGGCCTGATCGAAGCTGAGGGCAGATCACTGCTCCGGGGATGCCAGGTGCATCATCATAGTTTGCTTCTTCTGTGCCTTCTATGACTCTAGACTCAGGCTCGGTTTTCTCAGGGATTTGTGGTAGACCCATGTTTAAGCTAACCGAGGTTGGCTCCGTCACAAAACTGAATTCAACTCACAGTATGTTAGCATTTCCTAACAGAGACTTCAGTTTTCGGTTTCCTAACAAAGAGAAGAGAAGAGAAAGAGATTTTGCATCAACGAACCTAACTTCAAAGTTTTGTCCATTAGCACCCACATTTGCACAAATCTTGCTAATTATCCACGGCGGAAGATATTCGCCCTTAATCTCGACCATGCAGCAATTTGTATGATCTGTTTTTACCATCTCCGTGCACTTGATCTGGCGATCAAAGAACAAGTATTCTCAAAATGTAAAGAGAATTCACAGATTACAGACCAAAGCGCAAATGTAAGAAAATATACCTCAGGAGAAGACACTGCAGCATTTTGAAATGGTACAGGTGAATATAATACAGGAACGTCTGCGGTGAGAAGAAATTCCAAAGAAGACCTACGCATGATTGGGAAACAATGGTTATACTATATACATCACATAAATTCGTTATTTAGATGTGCCCGATATGTAACTTCTTTTCCAAAAAAAGTTCATACGCACCTATAATTTAACAGAAGATCATACAATCCATGTACGTTCTCATTTCCATCAAAAGCCAAGAAAGATTCTGGAGTATTATCTGTGTTAGAGACGGAACGCAAACGACGAGTCTGCATCCATTACCAGGAGGAGTCAGAAAAATACGCCGATACTCTCCCATAATACCAGGTGCTTCATATGGTTCATAATACTGGAATATTCACCCTCACAGATATATAGTTTCTGAATATGTAACTGAAGGTGCACAAACCTGGCCAAGGTTATGATTCTCAATCTCTGAGAGTTCAGCAAGATCTTCAACAGTGGTCTGATCCATTTTAGTTTTGCAAAGAGGCATAGAGTAGCAGACGTCCTGTGAAAAACATATACAGTGCATATTAAATAAAGTACAGATGACTGCAAAAGGATTACATAACAGATAAGAAAAAGACAATGGATAATCTTATATTTGACTCTTGATGTGTCAATTATTGATTCAGCATACTATACTTTACCCTTGATGCAAGAGCCTAACATGTATAAGGAATTCCGAATAAAGTTGCAGAACAGCAACACCAAATTGTTGCTTAAACCAAATTCCTTATATCTCACTGATATGGAACAAAATAGTTATTGGTGACCTGTTAAAAAGTTCTATCATCTGTGAACCGAAAATTACTACAACATGCTGCAAACTACAAAACGTTGAAGGCTAGCCTCACTGACCAAAAAGCACATGGCTTCTCAAAGTTTGAGAAAACGAAGTAAAGATGTGTAGACGAGAATAAAGTTCCTATTACAGTAGCACCCTGACTTTAGTTTATGTGCAACTTTTGGCAAAACTTTACTAAAATTTCATAAAGTCCTATCAAAGATGCAGTCAACCAAGGAACTTGTAAAACCCTTTTTGAAAAAAAATTACTTAACAGATGCTGCAGCCTAGTTACACTTGTTTGAAAGTCTCACGGAAAGAAAAACACAATCAATTTGAATAAAACTAAATAAAGCAGAAGGCTTAGCAATACACAGGGAGCACATATCTTACAAGGTCTTTGAGAATAGCTCTCAATCTTCTAGTTGACTGAGTGATATAGGCATTGCATGAGCGTTTGACACCCCCTGACTCACAGCTTCCAGTGAACATAGCCACAAACTGTGAAGTACAAACTACAATCGAACAATGTACAACTAAATTTAGTTTCATTTCAAGAGTATTGGCATACCTATCATTTACAGTAACAGAGATGGAATATGAGAAACAAGCTGTGCATGAAAATTCACATCTTAATAAAAATAATAGTGCGACTTTGATACATCTTTGCCAAGACAGAAAAGTAACAGCAAGGTTTATGCGAGTTCTTCTAAAGGAAAGTGCAAGTGAGAAACAAAACACATAGGGATCTGTCTCTGTGGAATTTTTTTTTTCCACCTACATGCATATGTATGACATTATGCAAGCACTAAAAGTTTCCAGTGCCATTGATGTTATCTTCATTAATGTAGTGTTATACCGTAAGAAAAGTCACATCCAAATCAAGCAGATATACGATGAGATTACCATAAAATATTTTGCAAAGATTCTTCCGAAACATAAAATATAGACTTCGAAAAGCATCTTCCCATGCCAATTGTCGCTTTTGTAGAAAATCAACTTCGCCTAAAATAGCAAAATGAAGATCTCTTTATAAAATTTAAGAGGAAGATAAGTGATATAAGAAGGCATAGCTCAGGAACTCTCATTAACAAACCTCTGTCTTGTCCAGATGCTACCAAAGCCGAAATGATAAAAGGTGGCAAGGTGGACTGAGGATGAACCCAAGAGTGTAGTGACATGGAATTTAACACCTGGGAAACCACAGCTGATCCAGAACCACTACTGTTATCTTGATTAACCATACTACACGACAGCGACTTTAGCTGTGGCATACCATTGTAAGTGCTACCCATGATTGACCTATGTAACCTTAGAACAACATTAGAATGAAAAATAATATACCGAGTCAAATTTCAGAGGCAAAACAAAAACACGATTTCAACATGATATAATACGTAAGAGAAGAGAAAATGAAAGGATTACTTATGTCTGATAACAATACAATTTTTATCTAGCATCATCTTTAAGTGGTATGCTGTAACTAATATAAGATGTCAAGGAGGATACACTAAGAATCAACTAAATCCTATGCTCGAAATTAAAGAATAAGCGAATATTGATTCTGTTCTTACCATATCTGTACAGGAATATCAGAATTAGCTCAACTCACCAATTTAATGGAGAAGAGGAGACAAGTCGAACATACGTCTTCATGGAAAGGTCCAGAGGAATCTTTTGCCCAGGAACATGGATCTCAGACATGAAATGTCCACTTAGTAAAGCAGTATCAGATTTCCCTGTTATGTCACCAGGATGAACCGGCAATGGTTCACAAGTGGCAAGTCCTTTCAGTGCTTTGTTCTGTTAAAAGACCACGTCAATATTACCAAGACGATATATATATAGCCATCTGAAATGATCAAAGACTACCACGTGAAGCATACCATGTCAATATCTGGCAAGCAGGATAACTCTTCACCCCTGGTTGAAAGTTCTGTGACACTGCGAAATATGCTCTGGCTACATCTCTCAGGTGTTTGACTTGCTTGGACGTGAGTAACATTAGAAACTTCACTAGAAGCATTATTGTCCTCACTGGTAAGACATTATGGCATTAACATAAGTAAAAGCAAAGAAAGTCAGCTCACTCCAGATAGAAATTGCTTAAGGCATTTTACCGAATAAGTTGTTGTCTTTTGATGGCAGCAACATTTGAGAGTAAAGAAACATTGATTAGGCTGCTGGATTGCTCTTTCGCATCAGTTTCCTGTGGTAAAGACAAATAAAACTACATAATTTTTTCTCACAAAATTAAAGGAATCAAGAATCAGAATTCAAAGAGGTTGTGAACCTTGAAGTTTTCTTTGCCAGAGAGCATCCAAGGGCGAGCCTTTTTGACAGGATACAGTTCATCCATACGCATCTCAATGTATTTTGGATTCCTCAAAAGGTCTTGTTTCTTGAGCCCATTTTCCCTCTCAGTACTAGTACCAACATAATCTAGTAAGAAACATATATAAGTTCAACAACAAATTGATAAACGTGATGATTTTTGATTACCTCTTGCAAGGGCGTAATGCATCAAAAGATTCTTTAGCTTGGTCCACGAAACTAGTCCGCTTCAGTTGTTCTCCCTGGTGTGTTGTGGAACGGGATTAGTATTTGAACAAACAATCTCTAAAAGATAACTCTAAAACTCAACACTGCATAATCGAAGAGAGGGAAAGCAAAATGCTTACTCTGAGTTCAGTGGGCGTCTTCCTCTTACCTTTTGGCCCTCCAGCCATCATTAGTTTAAAAAAAAAAAAGCGCGACCACGGCGATCTCAGGCGAAGGAAAGATCGCCGGAACCTGTCGAGGCGAGGCGAGAGACTTTATGCGGTCGGCTTTTGGATTTCAGGCGTGAGGTCTGTGAAATTAGTCCGCCGGGTAAGTAATTTAGGTTTCAGATTCAGATTGCGTAAGCCGCGAAATCCACAGATTAGGAAGACATGATTTGGGCGATGACGAGCTCGTCGTGGTGTGAATCTCCACGGCGGGGCTGGGTTAGGTTTTCTTTATTCCCTCTCTCTTTTGTAAATTTTGGGGGAAAAACAAAGTTGGAAGTGAAGGGGAGGGAAGAGGAAAGAGCGTCAAATCGAAATCTAATTTTGAAAAAATTTGGTCACAAATGTTTTTGGATTCCCTCCTTACGTCTGTAATGTATATAATACGGTTTGGTTTAATACGGTTTTTGTTTTGGTTCAGATTTGAGATTTTCTGGAGAATCCAATCTTTAAATTTAGAAATTTTAGAAATCCAGGTTTAGTTTGAAATCAAAACACTTTATCTCTCATAGATTTAAATCGATTAGACCGGATAGAAATCCCTGCGTAAATTAAAATGTTCGAATCATCTCAGCGAACCAAAGTTTAATGCTCCAAATCACTTCAACAACACTCCTAAATAGCACTTGGTTTAATAACAGCAGATTCAAATGTTTTGTCCCTAAAAAGAAGAAGAAGAAGATTGCACCTCTAGCCTCTGACAATTACACATGACATAAACCAAGAACTCCTTGTCTCTAGAAATTAATATGTTCTCTCAAACTATTACACAGCCCTTATGAGATCTCTACCTAACATGTAAAAAAACAAACACAAGCAAGAGCCTCCAAATTTTATTGCGCCACTTCATCGTTTACTTCGCTTGATACCTGCCAATTGTTTTCACCTGAAACACAAAATTCAAACCACTCTGTTAGAATCTTCAGAAGTTCATAAATGCCCTATTCAGAAAAATAAACCAACAAACAAAGACATGGTTCTCATCACTTTGTCGTCATGTACGTGTTAATGGGTCTTAAACTTCCTAGTTGAATCTATACCAGGCTACAATTCATATCCAACTCTTTTCAGTCCACACTACACATGTGAAAAAGTATACACCTTAGCTATTAACAACACCTCAACCTTCAAAGTTCAAACCAGTGGGTATATATAGTCTTAGGATTCAAGCATGAATGATAATATCGAAAGAGGTACAAAAGAGGTTAAAACACAGGGGGTGATGAAGCAGATTTACCTGAAGCGCATGCCTGAATCAAAACTACATCTAAGAGGGAAGAGATAGCGCTGGTTCCTCCTCGCCTAATGACACAACATAAGGCTGAACTTTGAATGTTTCAGTGATTGTAAAGCTTAGCTCGTAATTCACAGCCTTCGTCCCAAAGATATTGAACCTTCCTGCGCTGTTGTAAGCTACCTCGGCATCAGCACCCTTCCTATAGACTACCCTAGCACGGTTATTCTCCTTGTCTACTTCTGTCTGCGACTCCCTTATTGGTCCAAAATGTCTGAACATTTTACTCAGACTCTTCTCAGGGGGTATTGTGTCTGTTTCTGAGAAGTTCATTATAAGCTCAGCTGGTGCATTCTCATCAAAGTTTGCCGGTTTGTCTGAGTCTGATGGAAGAGGAACACTGATCTGAGACTGCCGTCTTCTGTATGGTCGGCGAGTCCTTTTAACCTGAGCAGGTTTCAACTCAACGGGCGTAATTTGATAGTTTCCTTTCTCAGTAGGTGACGTTTGCTCTTCACCACCATTATGGATCACCCTGTCAGTCCAGTATGTGTCCCCCATTTCCTCAAAATCAAATGCTTCGGTTCCTCCTACAGTAGAATTGGATGGTCTACCTCTTTTCTTGCTTACCATTTCTGGGGTGATTTGCTGCGAAGCCGTTGAGTTTCGGAAATCTAAGAAAAAGCCAGCAGCAATTTCAGATACAACGTTCTCTTTATCAGGGTCTGTTGCTGCACAGTGAAGCTGGGATACAAAACTCTCAACAGCAAGAGTTTCATCACCAAGGTTACCACCCTTCAAAACTGAAGGAGTTCCTGCCATCTGACTAGCAGCTCTGGCTATGCATGCACCGATCTTAAAGGACGGCCTTTCGGCAAAAGACACCTTCGCGAATGAAACAGTCTTCCTGCCTTCTCCTGGTGAATCCTCACTCAGGACATCAGCCTTTCGTTTCACACCATTGGTTTTAGTATCAGAATTGGTTCCATCATCAGCATAATCAAAACTGTTTGGATTTTCCTCCATTTCTGTATCTTCCTTTTGGTCTGGATCGATAGTGGGAGCTTCATGAGTAGTGTCATTATCATTTCCCATTGTATCTTGGTGATCTACTGCTTTCTGATCTAAGCATTCATGATCCATATCTTCTTGGTTTTCGTCAGATCCCATAATTGCATCAGAAGCTTCTCTTGGAGATTCTGTAGCAAGACGGGCTTCTTTCGATTCATTTTCAATACCTTGGGCACTTAAGCTTTGTTGATCACGGGACTCAGCATCCACTTTAGCGTCAACGGATTTAAGGGTCTCGACCGTGGCAACTCCCTCTGCCAAGTCAGAAGCTTTCTTATCCTCTTTCAAAGACACATTCCCGGTTTCAGATTTAAGGTCTTGTATATTCCCTGACCAAGATGATACACCACTGAAATCAATAAAGTTGGTAATATCAGAACTTGGATCAAAAAGAGCATTATGATCCACCGGTTCAACTTCACCTGGAGCAGCATCTTCATTGGGACTGTTTGGTTTTGCTAACTCAGCAGATTCAATCGTTTCGGTAACATCACTTGCCATATTAGCACTATCTTTCCGTTCATCAGTTTCCATTTCCTTTACTACATTGGAATCATTCTTGTCAGCTTCAGCTATTGGAACATCTTGGGTTTGTACCATACTTGCACCAGCAGATTCACTGCCAGCATTATCCAAAACACCACCTACTGTAACATTCTTTTCCACCGGCTCTTCTGTTGCATAATCAACTTCCATGGCTTCTCCGTTTTCATCTTCTTCACGACATATTTCAGAAACTTCCGAAACATTTCCTAGGTTTTCTTCGTTCGTGTCCTCTTTGCTTAACTGAGGAGACACCTCTGAAACTTGTGCAGCAACATTCTCTTCATTCGCCTGTTTGCTATCAACATCCATTTTGTTTATATCCTCCTCTTCACTTTTCCTTGCTGCTTCCTCTTCCTCTTGGTCCGTTTTCTCTTCTGAAACAGGAAGCATCTCACCATCGACAGGACTTTGCTGTGACTTCTCAGTCTGAACATTTTGCTCGGCATCATAAGCACCGCCGTTTTCTTCAACTTCACAGTTTTCCTTCTCACCAGTCACCTCATTCCCACCAGAGATTACATTGCCCTCTTCTCCAGCAATTTCATGACTTTCACCATTTACCGGCTTCACCTCAACAGCTCCAGCATCATCGTCACGCTCCACTTGGTTTCCCTCAGTTTCAGGCTCCGTGATAGCATCAGTCTTTTCAACATCACCAGAGCTAAGTGTCTCCTCAATGTTATCCTTGGTCTCAACCAAATCGTCAGGACTTGCATCATCAGAAACCGAATTACCCGTATTGCCATTTCCGACCTCTACCGTGGTGGCATCCTCGAAAGCTAGGGTTTCAGTTTGAGAAGACAAACCTAGTCCTTTACCAGCTCCCTCCGTGGGCTCTCTGCAATCACCAACACTTTCACTTTCCTCTCTCCGTTCCTCCATTGGAATGATCTGATTTCAGCTCAAAATTACTCAATACATCCATGAATTTCAAATATATAAAGAAATTTCGATACTTGGAAACCGAAATCAGGGAAAAGGGTATTCACAACAAGCATGAAAAGTTTGCAGATTTAACAGGTACCCAGAAGTGAAATTAAAACAGCGGAAAAGCTGAAATCGACTGAAAAATTACCTCTTTAGATCTTGCGAGAAGTGGAGAAACGAAACAAGCAGAGGGGTTTGGGTCTCAGATACAGAGACGGAGTGTAGGTTTCAAATAAAGAAGAAGAAAAGACGATCTCCGAAGAGAAAGAGAGAGAGAGAGAGAGAGATCTAAGCTGGGTAGCGAGCGGCACACCGAATTCGTCAGTCGAGTCTGTTTTGAACAGCAGTCATGAGCAGCACCAGATTTCTTTTGTTCTTCGAGAAATAGATAATACCCAACAAAAAAAAGGAAAAAAAAATGTACTTGGAGATAAAACCCTGTAATATTTTTTTTTATTTAATTAACGAATTTCATTATCCAAATATTCTTGTGTTTTTTTTTTTTGAGTATTTTGATTTCGCGACATACTTGACTTGTCCCTACTTTTGTGGTAAGAAGATGATGTAGCTTGCAATCTAGTAATTATTAGAGCAAACCAGAGAAACTAGCCTTCTCCATTTGCCGCCAATTTCGAAGAAGAACGCAAGAAACTATGTTATATCTTCCAAGTTTTTATGATGATATGAAGATGTGGAATGAGTGTGCGAAGACGAGGGCGTTGATGAGAGACAGGAGGCTTTATGATGTAAGAATTTTTACTACCTTTTAAAAAAAACCAGAGAGACAACCTAGGCTAAGAAAATCCTGTGCATTCAAAGAAACATACACATCAGCTTTCTAACAAGTAGACTTTATAGTGAACGAAAACATAAGAAGCAAAATAGATTTAAACCATGCATGAATCAAAACTACATCTCTAAGAGGGAAGAGATAGTGCTACTTCCTCCTCGCCTAATGACACAACATAAGGCTGAACTTTGAATGTTTCAGTGATTGTAAAGCTTAGCTCGTAATTCACAGCCTTCGTCCCAAAGATACTGAACCTTCCTGCGCTGTTGTAAGCGACCTGGGCATCACGACTCTTTCTATAGACTACCCTAGCACGGTTATTCTCCTTGTCTACTTCTGTCTGCGACTCCCTTATTGGTCCAAAACACCTGAACATTTTACTCAGGCTCTTCTCAGGAGGTATTGTATCTGTTTCTGAGAAGTTCATTATAAGCTCAGCTGGTGCATTCTCATCAAAGTTTGCCGGTTTGTCTGAGTCTGATGGAAGAGGAACACTGATCTGAGACTGTCGTCTTCTGTATGGTCGACGAGTCCTTTTAACCTGAGCAGGTTTCAACTCAACTGGCACAACTTGATAGTTTCTTTTCTCAGTAGGTGGAGTTTGCTCTTCACCACCATTATGGATCACCCTGTCAGTCCAGTATGTGTCCCCCATTTCCTCAAAATCAAATGCTTCGGTTCCTCCTACAGTAGAATTGGATGGTCTACCTCTTTTCTTGCTTACCATTTCTGGGGTGATTTGCTGCGAAGCCGTTGAGTTTCGGAAATCTAAGAGAAAGCCAGCAGCAATTTCAGATACAACGTTCTCTTTATCAGGGTCTGTTGCTGCACAGTGAAGCTGGGATACAAAACTCTCAACAGCAAGAGTTTCATCATCAAGGTTACCACCCTTCAAAGCTGAAGGAGTTCCTGCCATCTGACTAGCAGCTTTGGCTATGGATGCACCGATCTTAAAGGACGGCCTTTGGACAAAAGACACCTTCGCAAATGAAACAGTCTTCCTACCTTCTCCTAGTGAACCCTCACTCAGGACATCAGCCTTTCGTTTCACACCATTGGTTCTAATATCAGAATCGGCTCTATCATCAGCATAATCAGAAGTGATTGGATTTTCTTCCATATCTGTATCTTCCTTTTGGTTTGGTTCAATACTTGGAGCTTCTTGTTGATCTACTGCTTTCTTATTTAAGCATTCATGATCCTTCTCTTTAAGGTCTTGTATATTTCCTGACCAACATGATACACCACTGAAATCAATAAAGTTGGTAATATCAGAACTTGGATCAAAAAGAGCATTCTGATCCACTGGTTCAACTTCACCTGTAGCAGCATCTTCAGAGGGACTGTTTGGATCTGCTGAATCAGAAGGTTCGATTGTTCCGCTAAGATCAGTTGCCATATCAACATTTTCTTGCCGATCATCAATTTCCATTTCCTTTGCTACATTAAAATCACTCCCGTCAGCTTCAGCTATCTGGATATCTCGGGTTTGTACCACACTTGCACCAGCAGATTCATTTCCAGTATTATCCAAAGTGCCACCTACTTTAACATCATTTTCCACCAGTTCCTCTGCCGCATAATCGATTTCCATGGCTTCTCCATTTTCTTCTTTTTGGTTAACATTGGTTATTTCTTCGCCCGTTTCCCCTTTGCTTAATTGTGTATACTCCTCTGGAACTTGTGCAGATTCTGAATGCTTAACATCTGTTGTCTCAGCTCCCACATTTTCCTGTTCATGTTCTTCCTTTGCCTGTTTGCTATGAACATCCATTTTGTCATTATCCTCCTCGCTTTTCTCTGTTGGTTCTTTCTTCCCGTCAGAAAGCGTCTCACCATCAACTGAGCTCTGCTGGGAATTTTCAGTTTGAACGTTTGGTTCGGCATCACTAGCACCACTGTTTGGCTTCTCATCACTCACTTCGTCTCCAGCAGAGGTTACAGTCTCCTGACTCTCCTCCTCTCCTGCCTCTACGTCACATTCCATGTTATTTCTCTCAACTTCAGTCGTCTCAAAATCATCAGGGCTAACTATCTTCTCAACGTTATCTTTAGCCTCAACACTTCCAACATCAGCTTTCACATGTTTTTCAACAGAAACCGAATTACCCGTATTGCCATCTTCATTAGCTGAACCTCCATCATCTGAGTTTGCATCAGGCGCATCAACATCGCAAACACCTGAATCGGAAGCCTCAACCGTAGTGGCTTCCTCAGCTAGGGTTTCAGTTTTAGAAGATAAAACTCTCCCATTACCAGCTTCTTCCATGGGCTCTCTGAAATCACCAAAAAAATCACTTTCCTCTCTCTGTTCCTCCATGGAATTATCTGGTTGCAGCTCAATCACTCAATGTATCGATGGATTTATTATAAGTAAAGCCGAAAACTTGGAACAGAAATCGGGGGCAAGGTTCCAGATTACACTGACACCGGAAAATCGAATTAACAATGGAGAAGCTGAAATCGACGGAATTACCTCTTTAGATCTTGCGAGATTTAGAGAAGATGAAAAACGAGGTTAGGGCTTTGGGTCTCAGTTACAGAGACGAGTGTCGAGAAGAAGAAGAGGCAATTTTCAGAGAGAAAAAAACTATAAATCCTTCTGGCTACTGCGTCGCAAATATTTATTTATTTGCGAGATTAAACCTCAACTTTTTCTCCGATTTTGTTTTAAGCCATAATTGTTTTCACTTTTACGATCAAACTTTTCAAGTTACTAAAAGAACCACTTTTTTCAATTTGTGCAATTTGAGTTACTAATTTTATTCAAATTGAACAAATACGAACTCTTGCTAAAATTTATGTGTAAATTATGTAATTTTAGCGTTGAATTAGATTCCACCAAATTGCGGGATTTATAATTGTTGCTCTAAATCAAAACGTTGTGAATTCAATTACAACCATCATGGTTCAGAAAACAAAATTTAAATTCAAATTCAATCATCATGGATTCTTGGTTCAGAGAAAAAAAACTCTATGATTATGATTTTGCTATTCTAATGCAAATTTATCAACTTGATTCATAGTCACTAGTCACTTCTAATTGTTAGTGTAAGGAATACAAAATGAAACATCAGAAGAGAACAACGTCATTGTGTTGTATTGCGTCTTTTTTTATCCTCTTATGTCACATTACTATTTGATTTGGGAGTTATGTGATTTTTTTTACAGTTTTATTGGCTTTCAATTCATATGGTGATACATCGAAGATACTAAACCAATATGTTACATGTCGTAGCCATAATATTGATTAATGTGAAGTTTAATTTTAGTAGTACTATATGTTCATTAATTGAAATATCTTAATCAATCTTTTTTAAAGGGTTAAGACTAGAGATCAGTTGAAATAACCCCGATCAAATGCCTCATTAAACTTTTTGACATAATTAAAATTGAATTCCTTTTTATACTTTTCTAAAAGTTTCCAACATTCAAATAAGTAGGACTCATAATGGCTAGGGTAACCCAAGAGATAATTAGATCACCTCGTTTGATAGGTTAATTTTAAAAGAAACTCCATTAGCGAGATTAGCTTCAATGAATAAATTATTATATGTAAAGGAACTAAAAATTTCTCTTAAAAAAATGAATTGTGTCTCTAATTAAACATAAAACATGGTAGAAAATGAATAAATTTTGTGCTGAGTCGTTTGATCAACAGCTTGTTGCCTACTCATCAACTTATGGCCTTCTTCATTATGATCTCTCCTCCAACTGTACCTATTCAACAGCCAAAAAAAAAAATTAAAATCTTTATAACATCAGTTTAATATATTTTCCGACACACGAAGATCTTGCATGTAACGGGCCTTTTGTTATTTATGAATTCATCATAAGCACCAGGATCCAACTAAAATATTACAGAGAAACGTGCTACAACGAAGCATCACGTGCCAAAGCAGAGCCTATCTAGCTGAGGGTGGATCCATGTGATACCACATCATGGGCACATGAGGCCATGACTGACAAATATCAAATAACGTGACCAACTTGTGTATACATGTGTGCTTGTGTGTATGTCTCATCAGGTTTTTTTTTTATGCATATATAGTAAATAAATAGATGGATAAGAACTAAAACACTACATACGGAAGACACATAGTGTTAGATTATACTAAATCACTAAATCAAGAATCGCTTCTCTAATTAATTGTACTATTGTAGTTTTATTCACTTAACCATATAAATTTGTAACAGTAAAGTGGGATTATACAAAAACAAAACACTTCTAATTTTATAATATTGACGTAAAAATGTAACATAAATTAAATTAAATTACGTATGACAATTACAATAGTACCTTATGACTAAATTATGTACGTATGACTTGATTAGTCAAATAAGTCATTTTGGATTTTCTCCTTTTTATTGTCTGAAAAAATAGTTTCATTATTATTATTATTATTAAGTTTGGAGTAGAATGGGAAAACAAAAATACCTGATATGGGAGGAGTGGAAAAGGAGTGGGGTTTGGAAAAAGAAGGTTGAGGAAAACCGATGGCCTGAGTTTGGTGATAAGGATAGACAGTGTAGAGAGGCATCACTGGACTTGCCCCAACCACTACTCTTCCTCCACCATACATGTGGTGTTGTTGGTAATATTGCGGTTGCGGCTGCGATTGCGGTTGTGCGTAGTATCCGTTCATATAGCTTCCTCCAACGTATCCCACTTTCTGTTCATTAATTAGATAACATTACAAACGATTTTTTGTTTTCTAAGTGTGGAAAATCATAATTAGGAACCATAGAGACTTACTTGATTATAGGCCATGTTGGGGGCGACGTAGGAAGAAGGGTACCTTAATATTATTTATATGAAAAAACGAACCAATCAAATACCTTATTAATTTAAATACATTTTTTTATTTTTAACATTTATTTTAAGTACATTTTTAAGAAAGTATATTGGACCGTAGAAAATAGTTTACCCGTAGAAAGGAACGGCTTGAATTTGATGATGGAGTTGTTGTTGCTGAAGCTGATGCTGTTGCTGGTGTGTGAATCCCGCAGGGTAGTACCACTGAGCTTGATTCCCTACATTTGCTGACGTGGCTCTACTCATACTCTTTGATCCTTCACATCTCAAAACATCACATTGATAATAAATAATTAAGGTTAAGATTAATTTTGAAAAATTAGATGGGTCCTGAAAAACCTTGGAATGTATGTAACCTATGTATGTTAAATGAACTGCCTACATCAAACCTTTTCTTTCACATTGTAGTATATCCTAACTAAATTGAAAAGCATTACTCTTCGCCAAACCAACAACATAAAATAAATGACAATCTTATCATTAGCTTATGTACACATCTACCATACTACATGCACATAACGATTTCCTTAACAATCCCCGCATACATGACGTTATAACCAATGTTCATATGTATATGACTTTTTCCTTTTTGTTGAAGGTCTTACGTGTGTATGATTAATATATTTTCACTGCGATTTCAATCATTAAGCAATGTAGATACATTGAACGATAAGAAAGCCCCTCTTCCATAGGTTATGAAGATTAGTTTGAATTTCAGCCTGGAAACTCCGGTTATAATTAAACAAAAGAAAATTGTATATCAAAAACTTTGTAAATATATATATGGACCTTGATCAGGAGAGGCCATGGAGGGGGATCTACGAAGGCGGCCACCGAGGGAGGCGATGTTGCAGTTGGCACGGCGGCCATTGATGATCGGAGTCGAGTCTTCGCAAGCCCTCTTCGCAGCCTCCGCATCTTTGAAAGTCACCTTTAAAAAAAAAGAGAAACAAAGAAAACAAAAAAAGTGAGATTACAAAGAAAAGAAAAATAAAAACAGAGAGAGAGAGAAGACTGAAGAGGAACATACAAAGCCATAGCCTTTGGAACGGCGAGTGAGTCTGTCGGAGATGATGACTGCTTCCAAGATATCACCGTACTTGATGAAATGATCATACATTGCTTCTTTGTGAGTGTCCCAAGCTAATCCTCCTACGAACACTTTGGTCAGCTTCGTGTCACCAAAACATCCGTTCACGTTGTTGCTCGTCGTCATTGGATCGTGTGTGTTTTCAGAAAGAGAGAGAGAGAGAGAGAGAGAGAGAGAGAGACCAAATAAGAAAAAGAGAAAGCGAGAGAGAAGGAGAGTGGATTGAATTATTATATATATAAAAAAGGGGAATAATAACAATAAAGAAATTGTGTAAAACAGAGAGTGACAGATTGGTGGACAGGTAAGTCTTAACGTGATCACTACAACCTTCTACAGTATGTCTCTTATGCCTATTTCTTTGAGAAAATGTAAACTTGTCTTAATATGATGGGTTCTTTCAAGCAAAACAACTAATAAAAAGAAACGGATGGTGTATTAATTATAAAACATAACCAAATATGAATGCACTGCCATGAGTTTCACCAATCATGGGTTAATCCAGTAAACAAACTGGTACTAATGGGCCACAAACTATAAGTCTATAACAATATTGTATGACTTAAACTGGTACTATAGGCCACACTCATGGCAGAGAGCAACAGCGAGAGGAATTTCAAGGGACGGTTCTACCTTTGTTCAGGCTTACCAGACTCCCTCAATGGCTGAGATGCTGTGTCGGTCACAAGCCATGTTTCTGGTTAGTCCATCACCTCATAGACTCATCAGCCCTTGCTCTCATTTGCTTCACAACCAAAGCCTAGGTAAAGAGCTAAAAATTTGACATCAATCCAATGACGAGAAGTGAAGTGTAAAGCTAAAAAAGTGGGAAGGTTTTCTTGTTTTATCTGTAAATAAACAAGCAATGTAGGCAAAACCATCGGGAGAAATGTAACATAGGTATAATGAATCGAGTGGGTTTAGAGTTGAGCAAGTGGCTTTAATATTTTTTAATTTCCATTAAGTTCCTGTGTAAATGTATTATGAAGTAAAAATTTCATTGCCTATATATACTCGAGAAACTCACAAGTTGCACATATATAAACCTACTACACAACAGCATTAACACACTCATTACCTAACAAGAACCAAAAACACAAAAAGAGAGAGAAGAGAAGACACTATTCTCCAGCTAGAAGTCCTGGCAAAAAGAAAGACAAAGAAAAATATATCTACTAGCTTAACAAAATAAATCTCCTCAGGGGAATGTCCAAATGGTAAAATGCAGTTCTATTTCTTCAGGATTCATGATCTACCTTTCTTCATCCTTACATCTCGCTGGTTTCGAAAGTGGCTGAGAAGTTGTTGTGCCTGCAAAGAACAATTATTTCAGTTATCTCGATCCATTATCTGTCCAACCCCATAAAGAAACCGAACTTAGTGTGTATCGTGTAACAGTTGAAGATGAATGAATATAAATCTTTACCTTCTCTTTTGCTCTCTGTGTGCCAGACTGAGACAAGGCAACAAGAGGAGGTATGGCACCTTCTTGCAAGACCAAAGTGCAAAATTTGGGACTGTTCAGACACAACTGAAGTAGCACAGAAGCTGCATTCTCTTTCCCTCTCTGAGATCCTGAGTCAACGGTCTCAACAAGCAACGGGATCCCACCTTCCCTCACAATTGCTTGACGCCCTTCTCCAACACCAGAAAGATTTGCAAGAAGAGCAACTGCTTTATCAACCATCTCAAAACCTGGGTCTAACAGCTCCACAAGGTACTTAACAGCCTTAGCTTGCACGATACGAGCCTTGTTCTCATGAGTTATGGAGAGATTGAACAAAGCAGAGGCGGCGTCTTTCTTTCCTCTAAATGTCCCCTTACCAAGAAGATTCACCAGAGCCTGTATCGCTGCGTTAGACTGGCCTATTCGTTCCCTGTTGACCTGCAGAACAGACAGACTGAACAATGTTGCCGCTGAATTCTCTTTGGCTCTGTCATTTCCTGTGTTCAAAACATGAACAAGCGGTTCTATTGCCCCAGCTTCTGCAATTATTGCTTTGTTTAGTTCACTAATCGAAAGATTCAGAAAAGCCGTGACTGCGTGTTCTTGGGTTAGATTTTCTTCAGAGTATAAAAGTGAAAGCAGTGGAGTGATAGCACCGCAACGCCCTATGTGAACACGATTTTCAATGTTGTTAATGGTGAGACGACGTATTTCAGCTGCAGCAGCAGTCTTTGCTTTGGTAGATCCACTTTTCAGATCTTCTACCAATTTCATGGTATGTGAAGCCGTCATGGTTCCTGAATCATCCAAATTCTGTACAGAACACTCTTGCGTATTCACTGCACTATACTCATGATTAACGTTGGTTAAACTTTCTGAGTTTTTCTTGGGAGACATCTCATTGTAGCTTTGGTGGTTCCCTGGAATACTTTCCGTCTCATTTGTCACCGAAGGAACATAATCAACAGACGAGACAACACTGCAAACGGATTCACTTCTGCTGTGAGTATAAGACTGCCCCAGAGAAGAAAGCTCGAAAATCTCAAGATCCTTGCTTTGAGACTCCCCGCATAAACTTGCAGACACGTTGATCTTTAGTTTCTCAAACCCATTTCCAGTTTCAAGAGATGATCTTGAGGTAAAACTGCTGCTCCGTAAAGAAAAACGAAAACTCTCGGTGCGGTTAAAGTCATGAGAACCCATGTTGTTAGCCATGGATGAAGCATCGCCACCGTCATAAAGATGACCAGAACTAGGAGCAAGGTTGATACTGTTTGCCTCCAACCAACTCGCAATCATAGCCTTCACCGTGTAATTGGGAATGAGTTCTTGATGAGTAAGCACCTGCCGTGTCCTGGGACAAACACCTAACCCGTTATCAAGCCATTTCTTAATGGAAGTTCTGTCAAATGTCTGTCCTGAAGCTACTATTACCGGATCCAGCATGAGTTCCGTTGACAAAGGACATCGGAAATACGGTGGTACAGAGATGCCTTTAGCTACTTCAAGAAACTCGGTTTTAAGCATGTGTTCACGGATGCACGAGACAAGATCTATCAGTTGGTCGATTTGTTCCATTTTTTCTTTCGACTTGCTGGCCTGGGATCTTATCCTCTCCTTCTCCACAGCAATGCTTTCCTTCAAGAGATCCTGGTTTGATATCAATCCCATCATTTGAATAATGTTATCCAGATGTAGATTATCCAAAGGAACAATATCGTCTTTCCGATTCCTTAATGCATTCTCCATGTGATCAGTCAATCTGTTCCCTTGCTTAAAGCTCTCAATCTCCTGCACACAGCGCTGAAATCGTTCCAAGATAATTAATACAAGTGGCTGCAATTAGACGCAGAGGGCTAAAAGTCATTCAAGTGATTCTAGTTTTACCTCAACACCTTGTACGCTTGAAGTAACCGGACTGGACGACTGTGATAACTGAACAAGTATGCGACCAATCTCCAGCGAACAAGTCTGGACCTTTTCCAACAAAACCTCGCACTGATACACCTGCACAACAACAGGTTCATTGAATAAAGCTGAAAATGTAACTGAAAATGAGAGCTTATTCATCAACTTACACCAAACAGCTTGCTCAACTTTGGGGACCAGTCCTCTAAGAACTCCCGAGCCTGGTTAACAACGGAATCAAGGTCTTCACACACTCTATTTAAGCAGTCATCAGAAGGTATTTTGCAATCAACAACTTCATCCAGAAAGGGTTTCAAGAGCTTCAACAAGTGAACCACATTTCCAATACATGTTTGGATGGGACTAAATCTTCTGGTCTGGCAAGCGACCAGATGAAGATACCGAGATATGCTGTTAAGAAGACATCGGACAGGCACAGGATCCATTCAACTATCAAGCTGCAGAATACAAACACAAAACACACATCAACTTTTGGACACAGAAAAATGAATTTTGAACTCATTTAACACAATAGACCTCATGACTTTGAATTTATGTGTATTTATATGAAAAAGAAAGTCTTTTACCACAATTTTTTTTTTCTGTGGGAACAACATATAAAAAGCATTGACTTTTGACCTATTTGCCTGAGAGACTGACATGACTAGATTCAGTCACTTCTTATGGAAACTGAAGAAAAGCAAACAGAAATTCAAACAGAAACTTGCGCACATTCTCAACAGATGTTTCTGCTTTCTAATTTCCTTTTGCCTAATTTTAAACTATTTTTTTTGAGTCTATTAAAGTGGGGAAAAAATATAGAAATATAGAAGCAGTTAACACAAACACACACACACACTCAGAGAAGGAGACTTATTCCTATGAATCTGATAAAATACCAAATCGATACCCTAAGAAGAATCTCGAACAAAAAAGATAATTCAACGAAATGAGACCCATCACATCAGAGGAAAACGAACAGTAAAAACCTGAAGAAAGAAAAACCCAAAAAACCCTAGCTTATTACAAAGCTAATGTCGAATTCGGAAAAAAAAAGAACAATAATTTCGTTTGTATAGACAGTAACATTAAGAAAGGAAATGTGAGTTGGAGAAGATACCCAAGATTCAACTGATTCTGGAGGTGGAACTGTGGAAGAAAGCGAGTTCGAGCTTTCAGGAGAACAAGGCAATCATTCGAGCTTGCAGGGAAGTAAAGGAAGAGTTTCCCAAATTATCCAAAGATCGGTTCTTTGCTTACACAAAGAGAGGAGAGAGAGATTTAAGACAACGGAAGAGGAAAACGAAATTAAAAGAAAAAAAAACATAAAAAGAGGAAATAGTAAGTGTTAAGTAATGGCGGGGGCCCAAGTTGGGTTTTGCAGGTATCTCTATTGTTGTGTTGTGTGGAGTTAGTAGTAATCTAAAAGCTGTCTCCTTTTTTCTTCTTTACTATTTTTCTCATGATAATAAAATTACAATCACTATCACAACAATAATTAATTACATTGTTACCTTGACAAAAGAATCGATTAAACGTTGAGATTGTGATTTGATTTTTTTATTTATAAAATTGCTTTTTTCTTTTCTAAGATTGGGAATAGAGTTTCAAAGGGGAAGAAGATTCATATAGTTTTTTTACCTAAAAAAAAGATTCATATAGTCATTGAGAGAAAATGTACAATGATTATATATATTGGCCAATTACAAATCTCTACAACGAGAGATCACCGACTGCACCTAACACATACATGGCAGAGATATTACAATGAGCCAAAAGATGAGGTCAGTCTATACAAAAGTTAACTAAGCTGCACCTAAAAACATAAAGACTCCACAGAGCCAAACAAGGAACGCATAACAAAAAATTTAATGCCGAACCATCCAATAAAGAGCCTAACAACACAAATATTAGCTATGCATCAAACACTGCAGACAGAGGGCAAGCTTCTCTTACTTTCAAACAGTTCACATAACCATATAGGATAACCAATGGCTACGTAAGACTGAAAACGAAAATCATTCGTTACACTTTGAGCAATGAGAGAGGCCCCTCTATTTGAAGATCTTCTTTCCACTTCCACTCTCCAATCTTTAATCCCAGCTAAATGAAAGAGAATTTCAGAAGCTTGATATAAATAAGAGGGCCAAGCATGAGGCCTTTGTACTGCTCCAACCAATTCATGCGCTTCTAAACCAAAAATTATGTGATTTACTTTGTGGCTGATCATACTCTCTATTGCCCACAAAAACACCATCAGTTTAGCTTCCTCATATGATTTTGAATCTGGGAAAGCTCTTCGACTATGAAGCAAAACATTTCCTCCCATATCTCTTAATACCCAAGCACCTCCACATATCATCTTTTCTTTGGACCAAGAAGCTCCAATATTACATTTAAACCAAAGAGGTGGAGGTCGTTTCCAAATGATCTTTGTTTTAGACTTCTCCAATTTCTTCCCAACTTCAGTTTCCATTTCAACTTCTTGAGCCACAAACCAAAGATCAGCTTCAGATCGAATTTTCTCAATCAACTCTGTAGCGAAGAATAATTTTCCTTCAATAAAAAAATTATTCATGTTTTTCCATAAATACCATAGAATCCAGGGGAAAAGTCTTCGAATCTCCTTGGGAATGGCTGCATTTTTACTCATAGAGATAAGATAATGAAGATTAGAGTGCACCGAAGCTTGACTAAAACCATCTGAAGGACAAGGAACATTCGAGAGAGCCCAAACTTGTCTAGCAATAGAACACGTGAACAACAAGTGATTGCTTGATTCCCCTTCTAATCCACAGAACTGACAACGAGAATCAATTTTCATACCTCTCCTAGCCAATAAGTCCATTACCGGTAATGCTGCACTCAAAGCTCTCCACAGAAAAGATTTAATTTTAGGAGAAGTTTGAAGAGTCCATACCAGTTTCTTGAGATCATTTAGAGAAGGTTTCATCTCAGCCTCTCTGATAAGATCAGCCATTTTTTGCCGAGAAGCAAGCCAATATCCAGATCTCACTGAATATTCTCCATTTTTATTATGCAACCAGCACTAATAATCATCAACAGAAACAACCGGATTATTAGCACAAATCAGGCTCACATCTGCAGGATAGAACAGATCCTGAAGGACTTCTTTATTCCATCTTCTGCTCGGCACATCTATCAAATTTTTCACCATCAAATTCAGATCAATGAAATAGTTTTTGATGAAAGAAGCTCTCATATTCTCATCGCAGAGCCAAGGGTCGAACCACACACTTATAGACTTTCCATTACCGACCATCCTTTTAAGACCAATGGACAACAAATCTCTTCCATGGATAATGCTTCTCCAAGCGTATGAAGGCCGAGAACCCACTTCTGCTTTAAGAAAGACATCTTCATCAAAATACCGACTTTTGAAAACTCTTGCAAAAAGACTGTTGGGAAAGTGAAGGATCTTCCAAGCTTGTTTTGCTAACAACGCTTGATTGAAGCATTGAATATATTTAAATCCCAGTCCTCCTTAATCCTTTGTTAAACACATCTTTTCCCAACTTAGCCAATGAATCTTTCTTTTATGCTCTAGAACATCCCACCAAAAATCAGCCATATATAGCACTTGTCAATTTTTCACACATGACTTGAGTAAGTTTGAAACAAGACATAGCGTAAACCAGCATGGCCATTGCTACTGCCTTGAGAAGGATATCTTTGCCACCTTGAGATAAAGTCCTAGATGGACAAAAAAAACAAAAAAAAAGGTACAATGATTTAATCTTTGTTATGGTGGTTTCTAGTTTTGGGTAACATATTGGTGTTTCTTTCTACCTCAATATTTCAGAACTTTTTTTTGTCAACAAAATTCAGATTCTTAGTCAAGGAAATGCTGGGCCGTATGAAACAAATTTTGATGTGTTAGGCCCAGTTTATAGATTAAGCCCATAATGGGTTTGTAGCGAACTGATTTTTTTTTTTTTTTTCAGCAAACTGAATTTGTTTGTAGAGTGTAACAACTAACAACGAATGTGTTGATCACTAGTTTCTCCAATCAAAACTGATTAAATGGTAATAATTGTCTACTCGTTGGTCAGTCAATCACCGTACGATTTAAAGGATTTTTGGAATCTTCTTATAAACAGTAGCAAAATAGAGGGACATAACGAATAGCAGAATTAAAAAAAAAAACTAATTATAGAAATTAAACCTGAACACAGAAGCGCCAATCATTTAGCCTCTCACAAAATAGCAAGCAATTTGTAACCAGCGAAGTTAAAAATTTATAACCAAAACGAAATGTAAGAGCAATAAAAAAGAAAAGAACAGAAGAAAAATTTGTTTGTTTTTCTCTCTTGATTGAGAAAAAAACAAAATAAATAAACAAAACTTCCTGTGCAACTGATCTTTCCACACATTAGATTCTCTGTTTCGCTTCGGCGGAATCAGAGAATCGCTTTAAGTTAAGCATTCGAGACACATACGTTTTGTGATATCGAATATACATTCGTTTACGGGGAAGAAGCATATATTGATCAAGTGGTAAACCTCCTGATGAAATTTTTGTAGTAGAAATTAGAATCGTTTGATGATGAAATTCAAAATACTAAAAAAATGGTTGGCTTTGTTAGAGAAATGGAAATGTCTCAAACCGACGGAAGAATGGAAGGTTGGCTTTATACCATCCGACATAACCGGTTTGGTCTTCAATTTTCCCGTAAACGATATTTTGTTCTTCTCGACAACAACCTTACAAGCTTTAAATCTGTACCATCCGATCACAATGAGGTTTGTCTTTTTTTTTTATTCATTTTCACTTCTTTTCATTGTTTTGTTCATGCATGTTACGAACAGATGGAGAAAATCGACAAGAATAAGTGATATTAAATAAACGGATATGAACCATTTGATTAGAGAGATAAAATCTCCGAACAACTTTGTTTTGTTTCTGTATAGGAACCGGACAGAAGAGCAACTCTAGACTGCTGTATTCGGGTTACCGACAATGGTAGAGAGAGTTTCCATAGAAAGGTACCAAATTTTCAGATACTAATAATAAGCCTAAATTTTCTCTGATTTTTCAGAGGTTTATTGGTATTTTTTTCATGTGTTGTCTCAGATACTTTTCATATTTACACTTTACAACACTTCAAACCATTTGGATCAACTAAAGGTTTGTTTTGCAAAAGTTTGGTCTTTAGATCTCAGGCTTCTTCTTTGTTTTTTTTTTTTTTAATAACCAGTTTTTTTGTTAACTTTGAACAGTTGGGTGCAAGTAGTCCTGAAGAAGCAGCCAAATGGATCAGATCATTACAAGATGCTTCACAAAAGGTTGTTAGAAAGTTATTACATTTTCAATACATTAAAAGATTTACGAGACTCTTATACATTGGATATAATGTTATCAGGGGTTTCCATTTCCGGATTGTGAATTTGTATCCCATGCTGAGAAAGGGCTTGTGAAGCTCGATGTCTCGAAGAGGTCACGCCGCAAAAACTCAGTGGACTGGACAAATTACTCATCATTGAGTGTTGAAACAACAATAGCACCTACAACAATAGCACCTGATGTCATTGCACCTTCTCCATGGAAAATCTTCGGATGCCAAAACGGTAAGAAAATAATACTTTTCTTTGTAAAATTTGAGTTTCAGCAAGAAATCGCTGGCCTTATTTTCGAGTTTCAGGTTTACGCCTTTTCAAAGAAGCTAAAGACTGGGATTCCCGCGGAAGGGTAATGTTTTTATTTGTGCATATATTGCATTTAAAGATCCTTAATTCATAATTTGGTTTCTTACCTAAAATTCTTTTGCTGAAAAACATTTGCAGCATTGGGATGATCATCCAGCAATAATGGCGGTTGGGGTTATTGATGGTACTTCAGAGGATATTTTTAATACGTTAATGTCTCTCGGTCCTTTACGATCAGAGTAAGCTCTATAACTGAGAACTTGTCTTACTAGATCAAGTCTTATTTTATTGATCATCTTCCATGTTGGCCACTATAAATGCCTTGATTGGCAAGAAAACTCAATTTTCTATACGTTTAGAGATTTACCGGATTTTTGGGACTTAGTATTTACAAGAGTTTCTTGCAGATGGGACTTCTGTTTCTACAAAGGTACCGTGGTGGAGCATCTTGATGGACACACAGATATAATCAATATCCAGTTATACAGTGATTGGTTGCCATGGGGCATGAATCGAAGAGACTTATTGCTGCGACGCTACTGGAGAAGAGAAGAAGATGGAACATATGGTTTGATAAATAAATTCCTGATAACATATTTGTGATTTTTTT